ATTTTACATATAACGAGCAATAATTTATTGTTATAGCCTCTAATGTTAACGCTCTAACCCTAAAGTTTATCTTTACGCACTTAGTTTATTTACAAAATTCGATTTCCTTTTTTGGTTTGTATTACCCGCGCAAATAAGTAAACTGGATCGTCGCTGGGTCAAATCTATTCTATCTATGGTAGATCAGATGCGAGTTGGATTTATCAAACTCATTTGACTTATTTGACTTATTTGGTTTATGAATTTATCGAACTTATCGCATTTATGAGATACCATGAACGAAGTCACAGGGCATCCATTTGTCACGAGACTATGACCTAGACCCATGACGATTGGTAAGTATGATGTATTTGTGACGAATATGATTTGATGGTGAGTGTGAGTGTTTGTATTGAGTAGGAAATGAGTAAGTATGAGGTCATAGTGAGTGGTTATTTAAGAGGGAAGGATAAGAGAGTTGTTCTTCCTCTTTTGTCTTTGCTGCTAGCTCAACACAAGTCTAGCTTTATCGTTAGTATCACATGGTTGAATACGAAAATAAAAGAAGGAAAGAGAAAAAGAAATGGTGTCAGTAGAGGACGACAGTGACTTACAGGAGATATTACCAGTTGGGTTTTCCTCAGAGATTGGTCTAGGGAATAATTCGTCGGAGGTATCGTTTCAAGGGTTAGAGAGTTCGCTGGGCCGTTTGCCGGTGGAAACACTGAAAGTGTTTTGTAGTGGTGAGGGTTTGTCGGAGACAGGAACTAAGAAGGATCTAATTGAGAGGTTAGCAGGTAGACTGGTTGGTAAAGTGAAAGGGAAAGGTAGAATGGAGGGTGGTGGTCAGGATAAGAGTGCATTGGATGAGAGAAGTGGGGTTAGTTTAGAGGGTGTGGCGTTTGAGAAAGGTCTTGGAAAAAGGATGGAAGCAGGCGAGGGAGGTTTTAGAGCATGGAAATGGGCTACGCCTGATTTGCAGTATTTAGCTGTGGAAAGGTCATTAGAGAAATCTGCAAGCATCAAAAGAGTGAGGTAATGATAAGAAAATTTATTATTAAACATAAAATCATATTCGTCACAAATACATCATACTTACCAATCAGTCCCTACGTCATGGGTCTGGGTC